GGGAAGGCCTTTTAATTTATTTATTCTGCTGGGACCTAGGTGGGGGGCTTGACGGGCGGGGGAGGGGGTCTCCCCGGGCTCTACCTCCCGCGGCTGAGGCTACCCTGCGAGCCGCGGCGTGCGCCTCGGGCCTCCACAACTGTTTCCAAACTGCCAAGACCGGAGGTGGGCGCGAGGGGGCCCGGGGAAAAGGGCTGGGGTTTTGGGGTGGTGTGTGTGTGTGTGATTGTGTCTGGACGCTCGAGCAGCGGGGGGAAGGCAAGACGACTCAAGGCGAGTTGCAATCGAGGTATCTCCGCTCCGGCTTCCTCTTCTGCCCCGCGACCCCCTCCCCCCGGAGCTGAGCTAGGGAGGGGAAACCAGGATTTTAACCAAATTAGCATTCACATTCCTGGGAGGATGCAGCCCTCGCCTGGTCCTGGCTGATAGAAGCCTTTTGCTCTGTTTTTATTTTTGGAGAGCAGTGCCCTGTAATTGTCCAGAACACATGCTTCTCTCCACACACACACCCCCCCTCCCGCCAGCCACCGGCGAAGGAGAGAGTCCCCCTTTTTTGCATTTATCTTTTCCTTCCCCTTTCTTTATTAAAGGTCCGGGAGTGGCGGCGGCCAATCAGCGCGCGGCTTCCATTTTGTGAGTTCAACTCCGAGGCTCCCGGGCTTCGCGAGGACGCAATTGCAGCCCCCTCTGCCTCTCGTGTCGGGCGGCCGAGGCGAGGGAGCCGCCTCGCTGGGGCTTCGTAGTGGTGTATTTCATATTGGGGCTCTTTTCGGGGTTTGTAATTTGGCCGTGGGTAGGTAATTGGCTGGAGCAGGGCGGCAGGGCGCGGCAGCCAATCAACGCGCGGCTTCTATAGGGCTTGAGTTATTAGACGCTGATCTCAAAACATCCTTCATCAGACACCAAGGAGAGGCCAACAGATGAGGGGAGCCATTTTTCTGCAATGGAATTAAATGGCCAAGTGGGTTTTTCCTTTGTTGCAAATGGGGAATGTTTTTCCTTTGACTCCACCATCCAATTCAGGACGCCTCAGTGTTGTGTTTAACATTTGTCAACAGGCTAAAGGACTCACAATTGGAAGAATGAAGAAGACTTTTAAAAAGATCTGGATTTTTCCTTATGACTTGGAATCCATCTTTGTCTTGTATAACTAGGTCATAGCACACCATTAATGTCAGCAGTTAACAATTTTGAATTCCAAAAAACCTAAGTAAATGACATATTTAATTTTTTTTTCCTCTATTTTTCGTGGGGGGGTGGGGGGAGCTTGGAGCTGTCTTAATCTGTATTCTCTTGACTGAACAATAAATTTTTAAATATATATAATTTCCTCTATTAAACACTTAAACCTGGCCATCTTATTAACTCCTCTCTTTTAACAAGGTAATGTTTTAAATGTGTAGTTTTAGGATTAGCGAAATGGCAGCAACAAAAAAATTGTAAGCAATTGTTACTCTTTAAGTTTTTAAAAACCTTTTACATTGTAAGTACCCAATCCATTCTGTCCTTACGCAGTGCAGTTTTCATGTTGATGTTGCTGAGATGTCCTTAATTTTCTGAACCTTCATTTGCATGTATGTCTTTGTCGCTCTTGTCTAATATAAGCCAGTTAAAATGCTTTTAGACGATTTTGCTTTTATAAAAACTAAGGCTTTGGCTTTAAGCTTTTGAAAATGTTTACAGCCATAAATGCTAGTCAGCTTTCTTCCCAGTAACTTGTACACTTTCTTTGAAAATCGATCTACTTGAAGAAAAACAGCTCTGTTTTTCTCGTCTTGGTAGAGGGGTGGGTGAGGGAAAGGAAGACCTCTTTGTGTAAAGAGACTAAAGCCGTCACAGGAAACTAGATTAAAGCTGGAAAACAAGTCCTAGCTAGTTCCAGCCAAACACCAACGTTAACTCTCGGGTATTTTCTATGGTGGTTGGGATGGCCGTGTGCCTTTTTGCCTTTTGTTTGATTTGACTGTGTATTTTCGCCTTTTGTCTCTTAATGACGGTCACACCATTGCTATATCCAGAGCAGTAAACAGTCCTCTGCGAAGCCGCCTTTTGCCAACCCAACCCTGGAAAGTTTGCAGAAGTGGAAGAAGCAGAAAATGCCATGAGTGTAACGTACAAAAAGGTAACAACAAAAAAGGCACCACTGTTCCCCGCCAAATTCCCAACTAAACAATCCCCCCAAAGATATTTTTTTACAATAACACCTCCAAACTCTCCGCCCAGCTTGATCTTCCAGACTCCATGGCACCGGGTTGAGCGGGTAAG